TTGTTCCCACCGGCCTTCAATCGTTTTATTTCGTGTTGGACTGCGCTGATATCTTTTGCTTAATATTCAGGCAATTAATTTGTCCATTTTTCCTGTTTGCAATATCCGCAAAAAATGTAATGTTTTAACTTATTACTGTTGGATTATGAAAATTCCTTGGCTGAGTGAGTGACAGAGTTCTGAATCTGAACCGAAATATCTGACCGTACGATTTATTCATTCTCTCGAAATCGAATTTGAGTTTGATCGCAATTGTACACAGGTATTCATTTCCACTTATTTAATGGTTTAATTTGCAGCCAATATTCTTGACCTAAGTTACTGTCATAAATCAATTTTTCCCATCCATTCATATTTGCAGTTTTATTCAATGTATCAATGAATGAATCGACATGAAGCGTCATTTCAGCCAATACTGGCGGCGTTGTGTTCTCATAGGAGCACTACGATGTAGGCATGCAGCGTAGTTCGATTTTGTCCTTATTCTCCTATTGATCATTCATATTCTTAATGCTTATATCCTCATTAAGTAACTACCGCAACAAAACACAGACCACATTGTGACTCGAATAAAGAGGTGTCAAATTTTCGAATGATATGATCACTTGATTTGTGGCATTTACAACTACCCTCAGCAGCAGAGCACATTTACGTTATAATCGTGAATTTTTTTGCCGCTTTAGTTTTTGTTTCCTCGCAATTTGAGACAGACCAAATTTGTTGCACGCCGTACAGCGATGTGGTGTTGCATCCATGCACCAAAGCTACCATAGATGCATATAGCCGTTGTCCTACAAGATTCCCTAGGGCTTTCAAAGCACAAGGCCGATGCGGTTACGTCAGGTGAGTAAAGAGAAGTCACACAAATAAGCAGCTTCTTTCAAAAGTTTACAGTGCATTTTTATGAATCATGAATTGTAGTCAATGTAGCGCATGCTTCATATTATAATGATCACGCCTGACTTTAAAAATATCAAGTTTTACAGAAAATTGTACAGAAAACATCCAGAGTTAATTAATTAAATTAATACGGCCATTCCATTCAGCTAATGAATGCTACAAGGTGCTTCTAGAAAAATAAAAGACTTTTAGCTAAGGCTAATTTTGCCTTACCGTCTTCTATATCTTCTTTCAGCTCTGGTTAACGCTAATTACCAAACCGTAACCGACAAGGTTGAAGTTGAGGTATAGGCAACCGGCAAGGCACGATCGCCGTGGAAACAATCATGGCTAACTCATTCTGCGATGCGAATGCTGCTTTGGAGGATAATGTTCTCTAGATTTTGACTGCTTCGTCATCAGCCAAGTGCTTCAACCATCCACCTAGGAAATCAGTCATTTTTCTTGACGTGGTAAAGATGCTGTCTAATTTGATGGCAAAAGACTAAGGTTTCAATTTTTGCCATATTCTCTGTTGAAAACTGATGCTCATTCATCGCGAAGTCATCGCAAAAGTCGTTTCGACAATTAAACGCAATTGAAACACATGATTTTGTTTGTGTACATGGCGTTTCGGTTCTACATTGTTCGGTCCCCAATACGATTCAGTGAAGTAGGCACAGTCATACATGGGCTTAACCGGTCTATCATGGTGAAAATGGGTTGTCTCTGTAGACTTTGTAGACTCTGTACTTTGTGCAGACACCCATCCCCACCCCTGCCAATAGCCTTGAATGCTGAATTCAAAATTGAAAATAATATCGTGACGGATACAAGCGGTAGTAATGCGATTCCCGCGAGGGCTGTTGCAATGACAAGGCTCGACAAGGTTCGATAACCTCAATCCGGCATGTGTTAACTTGTGAGGCATATGCAAATAAATAAGTCATATGACGAGGGAGTGAACAGGCTAATTTCTTTCTATAAACCGAGTGACTTTGATGATTGGTAACCCTGTAAATCAGTTAGAAAAATGTTTTGAAAACTTTGCATTATCATCACTTGAAATCTTGACCTTCGAGCTCGTCTGATTGAAGGGACGCAGTAAAGATGTTATTTAGGTAGCGTGCAAAAATATATCTGAGTCCAAAAATGACGATTGGTTACAGAGGAAAGCTATTGGTCCTTGGGGTATAATTGTTCACTGTACACCTCACGGGATGAGGCATCGCTTCGGAATTGCGGAGGAGAGATGGCAGTGGCTGAACTCAGT